GCGTGTAGGTAGGTAGGTAGGTAGGTAGGTAGGTAGGTAGGTAGGTAGGTAGGTAGGTAGGTAGGTAGGGGTAGGTAGGTAGGTAGGTAGGTAGGTAGGCAGGCAGGCAGGTAGGCAGGGAGGGAGGTAAGTAGCTAGCTAGGTAGCTAGCTGGGTAGCGAGCTAGCTGGGTAGCTAGATTTGCTAGGTAGCTGGGTAGCTAGGTTGGTTGGTTGGTAGGTTGGTAGGTCGGTCGGTCGGTCGGTCGGTGGGTGGGTGGGTCGGTAGGTAGGTAGGTAGGTAGGTAGGTAGGTAGGTAGGCAGGCAGGGAGGTAGGTAGGCAGGGAGGTTGGTGGGTAGGTAGGTAGGTAGGTAGGACCGTAGGTACTGTAGGTACTGTAGGTACAGAAGGTACTGTAGGTACTGTAGGCACTGTAGGCACTGTAGGTACTGTAGGTACTGTAGGTAGGTAGGTATGTGGGTAGGCAGGGATTGTATGTTCACATTTCAGTTCGAATACCCGCACCCTACCCTACTTCCCACGCTCATGTAGAGATGGTGCATTCATTCATTGTCGGAGTCAGGCATAATTCACCTGTGTGACGTTTCCAGACACACATGGGCAACACAAACTCACTCATGCCCATTCAGACTCTCTCACGGGCACACCCGCCCCGCACGCCCGCGCTCCCACGGCCCCCTCCCCCCGAACACACCCATGCAAGCACAAACACACACGCGCATGGAAACACCCTCATACTACAGGGATGCAGGCAAGACCAGCCAAACACCCAGCTTCATTTTGTACATGTGCCAAGGTGCCAGTGGCGCTTTGTCAGGCCTTGCACGGATTTTGCTGGCTGTTTTGCCTTCGGCATGGTAAAGATTCGGGTCTTTCTGTGTCATACAGTAGCCAATCTACTCAGATGCCCATTGGCCACACAAGCTCATCTCCGCTTCCCAAAGCACGCTAATGCCTTCGTGCCAGATGTAAATAAAGCGTATGCAACTGCTTTCGAAGTGCATACGTCCAATGTCCAACTGTCAGGCCTCCACGTTGGCCTTTGGCCGTGCCCCCGGTCATTGAGACATGATTTACTGCTTGCACATGCAGAGATGTTGCCGCTGAGTTGTTGGGGTGATCTCCAATGTGTCAAAGAGCAACAGCCTGATGACGTCTCATTGTCCTCGCCATCCTCAGGCAATGCGACTTATCTTTTTCTAGGCATCGGCTCCACGCAGATGCTGAAAGCAGGCAGGTGCTAGATCCTTGCCCGGCTAGCTTGCCAGATTCGATATCCATCAAAGCCTGGCCAGGCACTCCGATTTGTATTTTGCTGGTTCTAGTGGCGCTGAGGCACGCATTCCGTTGCAATCCATGACATCTATGATGATGCTTCAATCACAGGGAAGACCTTGGTGTTGACTTTTCCATGCAAAGCCTATCCAGCTTCCCACGTCACCAAGATCAGAAGCTGTGGGCAGGCAGCACCAGGGCAGAAAGATGTGCTAGCACTGAGCGGTCATTTGTGAGACGAGACTGCAGCTGACTCTTGGCAGGTTGGAAAGCCCGTCACTGGGCTCCTGCTGTTGTGCCTCTTGCCTGATTTCTGGCCACCAGACCCATTTGTGTGACACCCGTTGGCCCAATCCGGCACGAGATGCTAGCGCTCCAATGCTTTTTTGGAGGGCCTCGAGTCCCGGAAACGTTGTATGGTTGTGTATGAGTCCTGCCCGGCCTACAACCTCCTGCTACTCGGAATTCCGGACGTGGATAGCTGAAGGAAAAGAGGTCACAACAAAAAACGAGAGCTGATGGGACCTAGAAAGCCGAGGTTTGCCTCATCACGGAAGCTTGTCCGCAGTAGATGCACGCGACTGCTGACTCGAAAGCAAATCTTGGAGATTTAAACACTGATCGCTTGGCTACCCGTTGTCCCTTTCTCGATGGCATTGATGTGAGGTCGGAACCTTCATTACCGCAGCAATATCGCCCGAGTGGAATGTTGGAGGAGTGCCCTGCATGCTGCCAGCGGACATTTCTAAGTCTTCGCTTCGCAGCCAGACATTTGACAAACCCAGGTTATGCCCGGCTACAACAACCATAGCCGTGGGATGCATGAGCAGGGTTGGAATGTACCGGCTTGAATGGCAATGCTTTGTCGCCCCCCCGTTACCCTCTCAGGAAACCTAGCTCTCAAGCGCTTTTTATAATCACGCCCTGTGTGATCCGTCAGAATGTTTCTCCCGAAACATACAGTTGCCCAGCCATGCCCTGCTGCTTTCCAACATCGCCAATGCGAGTGCTCGGCTTGTGAGTAATCCCTGCCGAAAGAGGTGCTTAAACAAGCTTAGCGACTTGTCAGGACTCAGCTGCTCAGTGGCTGCCATGATCACGGAAGCTTTGCGAATTGGGCTGACACAATTCCTTCTACGGACTTGCAGCCTGTCCGCTTAGTTTGCACCTTTCAAGCGAGAGCTTGGCCTGACAGCGTAGCTGGCGCCGCTGGATTGAAAATTGTGGAGTGTGCCTACTCTACAGATACATCATGCCGATGAAGCAGCGATCTCACCCGCGTCCACACCTCGCTGAGGCAAATTCAGCGTCACTGAAGGACATCAGTGCTGTGACCACGATGTGTAGTTTCACTCGGAGGCAGCACTTGAATACTCCTACAGCGGAGCACAGTTCTGCAGTGGCAGCACAACTGATGTGGCGACCAACTTTTCGGACCAGAAAACAGGACAATACGTGTTGGCACCCACCGTTTCAGCAGCCCTTCTCTCAGCATCCCTCGCGATGGAGTCGCAACTTGACGTTGTTTGAAGTGTGAAAGTTTTCGGAAACCCAGCCGCTGCAAGCTTCCGTTGCAGTTTTGTTTGATACGCCCGCCAAGAAGTGCTCGGGCAGTTCTCAAAGGCTGTGTGCGACACTAGCAGATGATTCACCAGCGGCCGTTTCATATATGGATGTGCATCCTCAAGAAGAGCTCGACCTAGGCAAAAGCTTCTGGAGGTGGACGTATCTTGCTTGCAAGCAGTTCCTGGTGTCTTTACATATGACGGCCTTCAGTAGGGCCCTGCACAAGCTTTTTGTGGGCTGAGAGAAGCAAAGCTTGGCGAATCGCTGGGGTTGCCTACAGCAGCTGCACGAGAAGATGGCAGCCAGCAGCTGCAAGCAATTCACTTCGCGTGGGCAATGCTGATGCGAAACAAGGTCTTGGACAAACTCTTCAAGCACCTCGGATGCTGTGATATCAACTTTGGCTGCTTTGCATGTTGTCTGTCAACCATTCACATCAGAGACATCGCCCACTACGACCGTTTGCCGGGTTGGCCTAGGTATCCGCACCTGTTCTTGTTCGCTGCCACTTGACTGCAGCACACGTGCTTGCAACGATGCCGCGCTTATACGTGAGCCATGTAGCGGACAATCCGCAACCGCGCCCAAAACGTGCTCCCTGCTGACTCATAGGATAGATTCTGCTTGGCCTCAAAGGCTGGACTTGGCACCGTGGTGAATTACTCCAGCCACTTGGAGCACCGCATTCCCGTGCGGGATGGCAAACCTGTAGCAACAAAAATTGCAAACCCGTGTCCACACCACGGCCCGTGATATTGAGACTGCTTCGATGGCGATTGTTCGTCCTTCTCAAGCACGAGCTTTCTGCACATGCAGATGCTGATCTCCGTGTCGGATAATGTGCTGCAACAGAACCCAAAGAGCAACGCACGGGCAACACCACGCAGTTCAAAGTACGCAGCGGCATGTTCAGCCATCGGAACAGCCTTTTGTTACGAGCTTGCAGCTAAAGTTCGATACTTCAACGTCCTTTTGTGCATAGCCATGGCAGCAGTGTCGAGAAGGATACGATTCAGGCTGCCAAGACCAGGCGAGATGTGTCGCAACAGGCTGATCCCTTGGACTCCAAGCGGTGCCCTGCAGGGCGGTCCGCCCCGTCCATCGGGGGGAGGAGGTTCAACTCCTGGGAAGGCCCACGCATCCAGGCGGGACGGGCGATGTTGTGGAAAGGCACTACTACTACTACTACTACTACTACTACTACTACTACTGCTACTGACTACTGCTACTGCTATTGCTACTGCTACTAACAACGCCAGCATGTGAATCATGGCAAGGTGGAGCGCGTGGATCCAGTGTCCTCGGCCGAGGCTGGGTCTTGCAAGCTGGAGCTGGGCTAGGCATCTTCATGCCTCTGCACCTTCAACAAGCATTGCACCGTTTCGAAAAAGCTTACTAAGTTCCATGGATATTGAATGCTGACTTCCGGAAGACTCACTGCAACGGATACTCGTACTTCCGACATGCAGTTGGTCAAACGTGGGTTCAGGACGATCACATTCATGCCTGGAGTGTATCCATTCGCTTCCATGTTTTGCCACAAATACGTCCGTTGCTGCACAGGACGGTGTTGAACACCTGCTAGCCGCACCCTGCTGGTACGCAGGCTCTTCGCCGTCGTAGATACGGACCCTCGAGCTGGGACGGGCAGGCACGTTGAATGATCACGGGCAGCCGAGACTCTAGAGTGAGTGGATGTGCAGCAGTTTTCATAGGCAACACGCGGTATAATGCGGTATATAAATTCATCCTTTTTGCTGCGCACAATGATTGGCCACGTGAGTGCCTTCACAGGTTCCTTGGGAACGAGGCTCGATGCATCTCGGACCCGAAGACTTATTAATCTAGCCCAGAACATCGCCAAGCGATAATGTATTTCACATAACCTCTTACTCTAACCCCCTTCGGATACTTACCGATTAGAGATTAGAGGATTCGGCCATATTCGGCCCGTCACATACTATCTGTCCCCGTCAGATACCGACCGGTTAGAAGTTAGAGGTTTCCGCCCGTCAGATACTATCTGTCCCCTTCAGCTCTCTTTTGTCAGCAACCACCCGCCCGTCAGCAACCTCCGCCCGTCAGCTACCCGCCCTCCGCGCGTCAGCAACCTCCACCCGTCAGGTACCCGGCACCCATCAGGTACTCGCCTTGCACTGTGAGCCATGCGCATCCATCCTCCGTTGCCAGCAACTTTCTGCCCGTCAGCAACCTCCCCCGTCAGCTCTCTTTTGTCAGCAACCCTCCGCCCGTCAGCTACCCGCCCTCCGCACGTCAGCAACCTCCACGTCAGGTACTCGCCCTCCACCTTGAGCTATGCGCCCAGACAGGTTAGAGGCTTCAGCCCTTCCGGTACTATCTGTCTGTCTATCTATCTATCTCTCTCTCTATCCATCTATCTATCTCTCTCTATCTGTCTGTCTGTCTGTCTGTCTGTCTATCTATCTATCTATCTATCTATCTATCTATCTATCTAACTCTCTATCTCTCTTTATCTATCTATCTCTCTATCTCTATCTATCTATCTATCGATCTCGATCTATCTATCTATTTATCTATCTGCCATGCAGTGTCAGCTCGCTGACGGTGCCAAGTGGGAGCCAAAATCTATCCATGTATCTATCTCTCTATCTATCTACCTGTCTATCTATCTATCTACCTATCTATTTATCTATCTATCTATCCCCCCCCCCGGGCCTCCGCTCGGGTCCGCCCCTCCGCCCGTCAGCAACCTCCACTCGTCAGGTCCCCTGTCTGCTTAACTATCCGTCTACCCATCTATCTTATGTTTGCTTCTCTGTTATAACTTATATAAGACGTATCCATGTGCCCGTCCGATAGCTGATAGCTGCAGGTTACGGTTACAGGTTTCCGCCCATCAAATACTATCTGTCGCAGCAACCCTCCGCCCGTCAGCTACCCGCCCTCCGCACATCAGCAACCTGTAGGGGTTACCCGGCATACGCGCTGCCCCAAGCACCCTGTTCGAGGGGGACGTTATGGTTTGAATACCAGCTTTGTTGCTGTATGGACAGGTGGATGACGACTGATGTAGCATCCCGAGCCGCAAATTGACATATCCTTGGAAGATGCTTCGAACGGCGCACTCGAAGCTCTAGGCAGCAATATGACCCGATGAGTATGCGAAGATAGTCTGGATGTGAGCAGCAGGGTAGAAAGCCTGATTAGGAAAGGCAAATGTCTGATGGCAAGATAACGAACAAAGCCCGGTTGAAAGTAGATGTTTTGTGCCACAGCATGCAATGGAATAGCAGAGGTCTCAGGCTGACCTGCATCACCGAACCTTGAAACATACTCGAACGATTGTAGTGAAGAGATCTTGGTACCCAACAAGCAACGAGCTGCTCCTGCCTCTCCGGTTGTAGACGCAACGTGTGCGATGACTTCATAAAGGCTCGCAGCTTAGGATTCCGCTGTGCACCAAGGATCGTCCCGGAAGTGCTCGGAGATGATGATGTTGAAGCGTTTATCAAAGGCTCCTTGCACTGCCAGCTCGGGATTCATGCCTAAATTGCTATGATCGCGATCTGCAGCCTGAGAAAGTGCCACGGGAACAACTCATCATAATTAGCACAGCTCCCAAAACCTGCTGCCAGATTTGCTGGAGGAGAGCTCGACCACTTTGTGCCAATGCAGCCACGCCCTGTGAGCATGCAGGACGTGTGGCATGATCCAAGTTCAACCTTTCCACAAGCAAGGTCAAGCATCAGCTGGATGACGTTATGCCGGGTTTCACAAACTCAGTATCTGTTGGATACATGAAAATATATATATATATATAGTATATATACATATATGTCTTCTGTTTCTGGTGCGTAAACCGCGGAAACGCGATGTCCTGACGATCTTGCGTTTTGACTGGCCAGTTCCTCTTCAGGAGGTGCTGGACATGTTGGAGCCGCAGCGCATCGCCAAGTTTTTGCACGTTGAGGTGCCTATTCGGAGTCTCGGTCCCGTTGAGCTCTTATTCATTAGGTGTGTCTCTGGGGAAAAGTGTCGAAAGCGACGAGCGTTTCCAAACAAACTTGGGCTAGAGAAGTCACCGGCAAACTTGCACTGTCAAACTCAGTACAGCCGATTTGGGAGCTTGGTGCTGTGTGGCACCTGTGTGGCTTGCTAGCCATACCAAACGGCTGCAATTGCGGCCGTGTTGCAGAGTCATTCTTCGAAAATTGTTGACGGCAACTTCGATGAAGCGTAGCGGTCCTCAGATGTGTGACGTATCGCAACATCAGCATGTGCAGTACTTTTGCACGAGTTGTAGTTGACTTTCGGTGCCGGAACTACAAGGAAACCCACATAAAGCAGGCAACCACCTGCAGAAACAGTCGACTGGAAGTGTGCCCAAAACTTGAGTTGGTTTTTTGTGCCTGACCCTTGTCGATTGAGTTCGCGACAAAACTACCGTTTCGGAAGCTTTCCATCCAGCCCGAGACGTGGCATTTGCATTCCTGCATTAGCTACAACATGTTACACCACCATGCATACGCGTGCGATCAAACATGTTTCTCACGCATCGCTCCCATACGAGAGCCACATCATCAGCCCCGTCGTGACGGCTCCTCATACAGTCGGAGTCTATGCGTCCACTGAGTTGTGCCCATTTTTCCACCCTGACATCCACGACAAGGGACGAGTAGAGCCCGGTGTGAAAGAATACTCCGAGCAAAACACGAAATTGGACTTGGCTGCAGATCTGCAGCCATCTCTACAGCAGATGAGATGCTTAGAAACGGACATCAGCAATGGACTTTGAGTACCCTGGACTAAGGGATGCAGCAGTCTAAAAACCGATTGTAGCCTTTCCAATGGACTTTTGAAGTTGCGCGATTCCCTGCAAATCGGCAAGGTTCGGAACAGGCTAAACCGCGCCGCTTGTGTCCGAGCAGAACATAGCGGTACTTGTAGGAGGCAAGAGTGCATTCAACAAGAGTCGAACCAGACAAGTTGCGAGAGAAATCGTAGCATCAGTAAGGCATGGGTTGCGCTTCAAGTGCCAACTTTGTGTCACTGCATACCAGTCCCTTGCCCCACTATGGAACTGTTACTGCCCATTCCCAGAGACCGGTCCTCGACACATGATGTACACGTTTTTGTGCGTGAACCATCGGAGAGATGGGTCATGGCAGCAACGGGCTTCGTTGGCGGATAGCCGGTTTGTTTTGGACCAGCTCTCAGCAAGTGTTGTGCCGAGGATTGCAGAGCGAATCAGGTGGATTCAAGACATACCGAACTGGGAGGAAATCAACAGCATCCCTGTGCTCCTTCAGTGTCACAGCCAGTCGATGGGCGATTTTCGCTTCTGAAGTCTTGTGGGCAAGGCTGTGCTTCTAGAGCCATGTGTCGCAGGAGATCAAGGAGCTTAGAGAGATCCACACTTCACACATGAAGGCCTTCTGTGTGCATGTGCGGAAAGGTGGTCGCAGCCTTATGGCGTTTGCAGGTATTCAGGGACATCCGCTTGGTGCAGCGCCGGCCGACACTGGATGCTTTCACAGCAGTGGTTCAGCATGCACTACATGCACAGCAGCCTGTTCGCCACAAGGTGCGAGATGTCATTTGTGCGAGCTGTTTCTGAGCACTGCAGTGTCCAGCCAAGCCATGTGCAGGTAGCCATTGCCATGCATCGCTTGCATACAGAGCGTGGGGAAGAGTTCGGCAGTGGCTTTACCGATCCTTGGGCGGACGATTTTCTTTTGAACTGTATTGGCACCGAGATGCTCATGTCACAGCGCCTTTTCTGAATCTCCAAGAAATTTGGCCTGCATGACGTTGCGGGCATACTGAGACATGTCCTGTATGCTCGAGGTACTTGGCTTGCGTGACCATGGAAGATTCTGGAGTGCTCCAGAGGGGGCATGCCATGGCTGGAATCATTGACCCCGATTGTGATGTGGCACAGATCTGTCGAGACACTGCTATGAGGGTACAGCAGATCACTGAGGACTGTTGTGTCTTGTTGCTGCATCTGGCACGTGTTGCTCGATCCGTTTCAAAAAGATGCCCTGCCAGACTTGGAGGACAACACTGGTCGTTGTCCCCTCATCCAAGTAGAAGTGTTCCAGGAGCGCGCTATTCCTAGGTTTTTTGGCCGCAAATCATGCCAGCATGCGCTCATTGATTGGCAGCGAACAGACATCGAAACATGTGACGTTTTTCACAAGCAGTGTCAGCAAGTCGAAACGCAGACTCAGCACGAGGTTTTCATATATCCCCGGCTTCCTGCGCTTCATCATGACGGAGGTACTGAAAAACAGTTGCCGTGCAACGGCCGAAGTTGCCAAGTCCGATCGTGATGTGCAGAAGCGGCCGATTAATGTGATCGTTTGTGCAGACGACCATGAAGTTGCAATTCGAGTTAGTGACCGTGCACGAGGAATTCCTTTCGGTGTGGGACAAAAGGTCTGGTCCTACCTTTACACAACTGCTGGCAAAGGTCCCAGCTATGGTGAGGGTGCGACATCGCTAGCAGGATATGGCATAGGTCTTCCACTCTCTCGTCTCTATGCCCGATATCTGGGTGGTTCCCTGAACCTGGTTTCCTTGCCCGGATATGGCACCAGTGTTGATTTGTTCCTCAGGCGAGTAAACGCAAATCAGGTCGAAATTGTGCCTGATAACGACGCCGATGATTCCGATCGAAGGCCTTAGGATTGCAAGCTCCAGAAAAGCAACTCTTTGTGCCCGGTCGAGTCTGCAGCTTTGCAAGGCAGGCGTCTCAGTGCTGCCCACGGTTGCACTTGCATCGGGCGCGGTGAGGTGTACCGTTCTCGCAAGAGCAAAAACTGATCCTGAAGCAAAACAGCCACCCCTTGGTTCCTTTGGTCTGAGGCTATATGGTCATCAAATCATGTGGCGCGCTCAGTCTCAAGATTGTGAGCCTTGGCTGAAATCGTGAAATCAAACAACTTAATTCAAGGTTTGTCACGGAACAGTAGCTTTGTGGTTGGGAGGTCGGGCAACCGTTGTGGTGGTGTTGAAGAACTAATTTAGTCAGTGTATTTAGAAATTGCGCTTGGGAGAGAGTTAGTGAACCATGTCTTGTTGGTGCTCGAGCTGCGATATATCACATAATATATAAATTAGTGAATTAGTGGGAAACTAGTGATCAGACAGGTAGAAGGTAGTGAAAAGTTGCTCGAGGACAGAAACCTGTGACGGCATTCAACCTCACTGAATGCGTATTGTTTGAGTTCCTCACTATTTTGTCATTGTTTTGCATTGATCTTTTCATTGTTTAATACCGACAATATAATCAAAACAGAATAGGTGAGAAAATAGTGAAACAGTGATGACAATGCGTTAAATCGAGTAATGGCTGTGCTTGACAGTAGCCTTTGTGCTGAGGACAACATTTCGCAATGTTTCGCTGGTTGCGCCACAAAGCCGCAAATCGAAATGTCATTACATGTGCTGCGTGTGGCTCACGGTGATAAGGTATGGTGCTATGATGCTTGGAGAGCCCATCAAACCCAAGCATGTGACGGGAAGCTCACCTGCACATTGGTAGTGCCCGCACTTTTCTCTGAAGCGAGCCTCCAAGATGGATGGACATGTCGTTTCACTGGACAGGATATGCTCTGGCACTTGCGGCGCCCTCAATTACTCAATGCTTTTGCTTTGCTCTTCGGGAGCTTGAACTTCCCACTGTCCCGAAGCAGCGAAATCACCCTGCACAGCACGGTTGACCAGCCAGGAGAGGGAGGGATGCTTGCATTGCTTGCATTGAATTGAGCAGCCCGTAGCACCTCGAGAGTCGTTGTTTTTAAACACCCTCCAGTGGACGTGCCAGGTCGGCTTCTTGGGCTACACCTACTTCGGAAATGCGCGTGAGCAACCAAAGTCAGTTGCTGCATCCGAAAATGGAGCCGGGTGTTCACCACATGAAAAGTAAGGAATACAGTTGGTCGGGTTGCGGCCGGTTCCAGACGGTAGATTCGGTGGATTAGACTCAATGACATCGATCATGCAAGCCCGAGGGCATCGAAGCTTTACTGTACAGGCTTCATAGTTCCTCTACCGTGCTTCCAGCCTCCTTGCGACAAACGTTTGACGATTGGACAAAGTCAGAACAGATCCTCAGCCAACAGGCATTCGTTTCAAGATGCTGGGGGCACCATAGAGCACCTGTGCAGGCAAACGATCTGCCAGGAAGAGCAGCATCCTGTGCACACTCCTCGTTGAATTACCAGGTCGTGTGCATAGGGATATTTCTGTTCCAAGCCGATAGCTTGTGGGCAGGGGCAGCAGGCAATGTCCAAGTTTGCAAGAAACTGCTGATCATAAACAGTAAACCCTGTTTCTGCCTACAGCCGTAGCAGCGTTGCATCCAACGGATGCTACCGGAAAATGGAATGCCAGACATCATTCGACTCAGTTCGTTTCGATAATTTGGGTGGCTCGCACCATGCAGTCTTAGAAGGTTGAACTGTAACCCGGGCCAATAAGATGTAAGTGTTGCTACAAACCAAAGGCCACCATTAGTATTGATATGGCAGGTGAAGGTAAATGGCTACTTTGTGGCGACGTTGACGCTCTTCGCGCTTGTCTCACAGGCGCCCCACAGCCATGCAAAAAACTCCTTTGTGGCACTTGCGGCGAAGTCTTGTCGGGGTCAGCCGACATGCTAGTCTAGGAAGCTGCTGCTAAAGCTGCAGACACTGAACATGCGAGACGCACTTCTGATTCTGAGCAACACGAATGCTTGCCCAGGTTGGGGCAGCTGGAAACGGCACTGATTGTCAATGCGGAGAGGCAGGAAGACATAGGACATCGCACAGAGGATGCAAAGCTGCTGAGCATGTCCGAATTCAGTGAGTGCCGGCAGAGTTGACGCATGGGAAGATAAGAGGAAAGCACATAGCCATGTCCTCAGCCTGCTTCTGTTGAACAAGGCTGAGCCCGTCGAACCTATCCTTCCGCTGTATGCCACGCTGCCGATGATAGCGTGCACCCGTCATGCTTGGCAGCTCATCGCTTGATTGTTCTTGCAGTTGAACTCGGAATGATGATCAGTCGGGAAGCCTGCTATCCAGAATTCAAACTAACGTTGCATCTAGATGTGCATTGCCTCGGTTGGTCGCACTTTCCCAGCTTTTGCAGGATACTGGTCGCTTTGTCCGGCCTCTTCTCCGGCCTCACCTTGGGTCTTATGGGACTGGACGCAACTCAGCTCCAAATTGGAGGTAGCTGGTGTCCCTTGCCTTCTGCATAGCGTCGCTTCTGAAGCGCCACAACCTCGAAAGCACTGGGCCTAGCGAGGTAATCGGCCTTCAGATCGTTCAGAAAGGTGAGAACAAGGAGATGGCCAGGCCTGGGTTGAACCGGGAAGTCGCACCTGGCTTAACAGGAGGGCATCTTGTGCCTGTCGGCGTTGCAATGCCTTACATCCCTTCACAACAGTCTGTGATGTGCCTGGTCAGTCAAGAAGATCGAGTGAAGGTGTGCAGCGAGAATCGCGCCAATTCGAGAGTCTGGAAACCAACTTCTGCCACTTGGCGAGTTCTGGGCCGGTTCTTGTTTGCGCTGAGCAAGTCAGGTTCAGCAGGGACTGGTGTGCTTGGAAACTTGCCTCGCGGGTTCTCCAAACGAGAAGAACGAGGAGAGAAAGAGAGGGAGAGAGAGCCAGGCGCCCTAAACCTGCAGATGAAAGAACGATATGGAATGTTGCCAGCAGTTGCAGTGTATTTTCTGCTGTCAGGGATCGTAGTGGGGCCAACGTCGCAAGCGGCGGGAGGGTTGCTTGGTACGGGCTCTGACCCAGCGGAAGGAAGGTGGGATGTTCCTCCATCTGCCTAGCTACGGGGAACAAGAGGGAGACAAGGACGTTGAAAGCATGTGTTGGTCTTGGGCGGGAGCTGCTTGTGCTCATGCCCAGGGAGAACGGCCAGAAAGAGAGAGGGAGAACGGGCTCTGACTGTTGTTGTCCCTTAAAGCCTCTAATCAGGGGCGCGCCTTTCGGCGCGGGGGGCTTAAGACGCCTCCTGAACCCCGAAGTGA